CACTTTGTTCTCTAATTTCCAGTTTCCTTGAGAACCGATCCATGGCAGTTGTTGTCGAGGGATCAATCTCTCGCTCTTTCTCTACCAATAGCGCTGTTCCACAGTGCTCATTTCCTTCACCTACTCTTTAACTACTTTTTATCAATGATTTATTTCACACTACAACTAATTCTATCCATTCTTATGCTGATGATTCTACTCTTCATCTTCACATTTTCCCCTTCCTCCTAATTCTCACACTAGATCTGTTTCTAGAGCTGATATCATTACATCTATCAATTCGGATCTGTGCAGCATCTCCGAATGGGGAGGTAGAAATAGTAATAAAACTCAGTATTTACCAATCACAACTTAACAAATTGCTGTAGATGATATCCCACCAATCACATTTCAGGACACAATCATTCTGCCAAATTCTAAAATAGATACTGTATAGTACTAGGCCTCACCATTTCCTCTAATATGTCATGGAAACCATGGGAATGCTGTACAGATGCCGTAGCTACTTCACTCCTGAGCTGTTACTTAAAGTATATAAGGGATTCATTCGTCCTAGCTTGGAGTACTGCTCTCATATCTGGGGTGGCTCTTCTTCTGTCCAACTGTTAGATAGAGTGAAATCAAAGGCATTTCGTCTTATTAACTCTCCTTCTTTAGTTGACAATCTTTCTTCACTTTCTCTTTGCCGCAGTGTTGCTTCACTCTCTCTCCTTTACAGGTACTTTAACAGGCAATGTTTGGTGGATTTGGCATCCTGTGTACCGCCGGCAAGGCCGTTGGCTCGTAACACTCGTCTTGCCCACGGTGCCATTTCTCTGGATGTTGGTCACACTAGAATAACCCGTTATAGTACCTCCTTCTTTCCTCACACAGCCAAACTGTGGAATGCTCTGCCTTCTTCTGTGTTTCCATACTCATACAATCTGTCTCACTTCAAAAAGATGGTTTTCCAGCATCTTCGTGGTGTAGATTAATATATTATTTTCTTTTCTATTTTTAATTTCTGTTTACTCTTATTTTTTCGCCCCCCAGGCCCTGTTGTGGATCGATGACCTGTGCCCGGGTGGGCTATTCTATATAAAAAAAAAAATATATGATAAGGACACCCTGCCCCGTTTAGCTAGACACACCGAACACAGTAGATAACAGTACTTCTGAGGGTCATTTAGCCATGTGTCTAGCATCACTTTATATCACACAGGTTGGGAGAGGTGTTGATATACAGCAATATCTCAGTTAGCGGAACCTCAAACCGGAACTCTCTGATAGCAGATTGAATTTTTCGAGGGCACATTTTCTGGAAAATGCGAAAATTGTCCAGGAATGGGGCTTTTTCGGGGTTTGAGGGATAATCGGATACTTTCCGGAAAATCAGAGAAAATTTTTCCGTTACCCATAAATTACGGGATGGGGGTCTTTTTTCTGGCTTGAGAGTCGTCTTATTACCCGGAAAGTTTTCATTCCCAGAAGTGCTCTCATTCAATTGTCCTGCCTAACGGAGATATCACTTGTACGGTGATATCACTCAGGTAGTGAAGTTATTTGCGAGTCAGTTGGATTTTCACAACAAGTCAACTGGGACCTGGATATACTGTGCTGTACTGCCTTACACAATGTAGCCTTAATGGGATTTAAAACTACAACCAGACACCATCAAACCAGTACTGTAATAAAACCTTACTACTGCTGCTGCTACGAATAAAAAACAATACACGTTGAGATTCTGTTTACATTATACATATGTGAAGATGAAACAGAATTGCCATCTTAGATTAGAATGTATAATATTATGTCACCAAGCCATTGATGCCATTAGCCAAGCATGTCAATACCTCACACTATATTGATACACTTGACAATACAGTATTTCATTAGAGAGTACAATACAATACAGTATTTCATTAGAGAGTACAATACAATACATATATCATTGTCATATTGTCATGTGGATTATGTACAGTCATGGTCACCTCTCCTGCTGCTAAACGAACCCCGAAATTCAGACTCATGAACGCGAAGTGTAATGATTGCTTCAGACCATAGCTTACAGCCCAGAGAAGAACAACATATAGCAGTGACCGGAAGCGCAGGTGTGTACACCCTCGTAAGTTGACCCACCCTTCGTAATTAAAGTGAGATTAAGACCTGACCCAAGAGAGGTCACGGTCACAATAAACAAGAATTCTCACCGCCTCATCAGTAGCTAACCCGGTGACATGACCGTGTTACTCAAGAAGCTACCCACCAGCCAGCACACCTGTCACCTGGCCACACACCCAGATTAGTGATGACATCTTCCAGCTGGAGATCTTCAATATAAGGGCCCTGCAGCTCCTTCCATAAGGCATTAGCATTATTATTACAACAGGGAGGGGCCAGCTCCTTCCCAGAGACAGAATAGAGGAGGACGGAGTCTCGCTCATCACTAGTTGAGGTCGGAGAAACTTCCCTCCCCAGCACCGAGACTCCAGCTAGCAGTTTCTCCCACAGGAGGACTCCAGCAACACCTGCAGACCTTCCCAGCCGCTGGGCCTCCCACAGGTCACACGTGAGTCACTGTCAGAGCAATCCAAGGGTGAGTTACTTACTGTAGGAAGTGTATCCATTTCATGTTTGTGTCCAAGAGTCTTTGTCTAGTTACATAAATATATTGATTTAGTAATGTTCCATACCAAAGAGTTAATTAATAATTCGTTTCAGAGCTGGCATTTAGAGAAAATTCCCCCTAAGAATATATATTAACAGTTAAATAACTAATCGGCCACGCTACCAAACTTTACCACCCTACTATAATTCTTACTGTTATTTCTACTTAGTTCACCCTCATTATACTTGAAGCTCTAAAATTGCAATATAAAATTACACGAACCATCAATTTCAAAGCTTAGCTTATGGGAACAAAACAGACTGAGAATAAGTAAGGTCACGGGTCAGAATGGGGCGAGACCCGCAGGAGGGCAGACGCGCTGGGTGGAGTGAGGCGGGTGGAGTGCAATTAGGACAGGGAGGAGGATATAGCTTAAGACATGTTAGGTTAATATACTGTAGGCACAGCTTCCATCACTAAAACACAGTGGGTACATGTAGTACTGACTGACAGTTAAAATGCAGACCGTTACAAATTGCGGAGGACACTGACAAATTATATACACTGAACATATTCTGGGAAGTGTTATGCTAGTAACAATTCACACATACCACGATGAGAAACATTTACTTGAGCTGTAAAGATGACACACTAGGGCAGTTTTCACTCTGTACTACTCGGGATTCCTTACCGCACAGGTGTAATGGCTAAGTGAGGGAAGGAGGTTTACGTTAAGTACGCTGCCACCAGTATAATGAGGGTGAACTAAGTAGAAATAACAGTAAGAATTATAGTAGGGGTGGTAAAGTTTGGTAGCGTGGCCGATTAGTTATTTAACTGTTAATATATATTCTTAGGGGGAATTTTCTCTAAATGCCAGCTCTAAGAACAGCAAATTATTAATTAACTCTTTGGTATGGACACATTACTAAATCAATATATTTATGTAACTAGACAAAGACTCTTGGACACAAACATGAAATGGATACACTTCCTACAGTAAGTAACTCACCCTTGGATTGCTCTGACAGTGACTCACGTGTGACCTGTGGGAGGCCCAGCGGCTGGGGAAGGTCTGCAGGTGTTGCTGGAGTCTGTCTCCTGTGGGAGACACTGCTAGCTGGAGTCTCGGTGCTGGGGAGGGAAGTTTCCCTCCCGACCTCAACTAGTGATGAGCAGACTCCGTCCTCCTCTATTCTGTCTCGGGAAGGGCGGCCTCCTGTTGTAATAATAATGCTAATGCCTTATGGAAGGAGCTGCAGGGCCCATATTGAAGATCTCCAGCCGGAAGATGTCATCACTAATCTGGGTGTGTGTGGCCAGGTGACAGGTGTGCTGGCTGGTGGGTAGCTTCTGAGTAACACGGTCATGTCACCGGTTAGCTAATGATAGGCGGTGAGAATTCTTGTTCATTGTGACCGTGACCTCTCTTGGGTCAGGTCTTAATCTCACTTTAATTACGAAGGTGGGTCAACTTACGGTGTACACACCTGCGCTTCCAGTCACTGCTATATGTTTTGTTCTTCTCTGGGCTGTAGCTATGGTCTGATAAACAATCATTACACTTCCGCCAAGACCAAAGCTTCCATACCGGAAACATGACACACATAGACAGTGATCATAGTAATATCATGTGCAGTATCTAGAATAGCCCCTGAGGCGATAATACCTCTTCACATTTTACAAGCAATAACCTCATAGATACTGGCATGTGTTTTATACTGGCTTGGTTTGATCTGACAAAACTCACTATAGAAGCATCCGGGTTCATGACAGAATCTCGGTTTGTGGAGCAACAAGAGAAGCAACAGGACTTTCGATAGTGCCTATACATGTAAGTGACCAAAACAAATCTCTTACATTAGAAAATATTAGAAATAAGGAGATTATAATTAGGATGCCATATTTAGGAGTCTTTGAATGGCCAGATTAGAGTCATTTTATAGTTGACAAATGATCTAACCTATTGGTAAAATCTACATACCCTGTTCTACTGTTATTGGTCACTCACAGCTTAAATTATGACAATATAATATTACTGACTAGTGAGTACAGGAGCATTATTTTAACCAGCTATATACCTTATTTACCTAATGGCCTACTAGAGTTGGTTATATTGAGGGACCAGTTTTCCTCCTCTCTAACCCTTAACAATAAACAGTACTGGTAATAAAACATCAAAGACCATAACAGATAATAAACTGGTCACCACTACACTTGTCCTCCACAAATTCTCTCCATGCACGCCACCCCTCCACACACTTTGCCAATAGTTACCTTGATAAAATTAACTAGTAAACCTAAAACAAAACAACACCTAACCTAACCCAAACCTAACCTAACCTAACCTAACCTAACCTAACCTAACCCAAACCTTAAAAATCACCCAATATACTTGAGCCAATTACTGGGGTCCCTGTACCCACTAAACAGCATATTGCAGATTAAGCAATGACTAACTTTAGGTTAATATTGCAACACTGAACATATTGCAGATTATATGAAAATAAACACTAGGTCAGTATTGCAACATCCAACATATTGAAAGATTATACAAACAACACATGGAGTTTAGTGTTGCATCAAGAGACAAGGAAGGTGTTGCGTCATTTCATATAAGGGTAACACACTTTTATATAAATTTTACTTTAGGTCATTGAAGGTCTTGTTTACTTCCATAATATAACCAAACTTTACCCAAAATAGGTTAGGTTAGGGTAGAGAAAACTTGGTAAGGGTAGGTTAAGATAAATCAGGTCAGATTAAGTTAGGTTGGTAAGGGTAGGTTAAGATAAATCAGGTCAGATTAAGTTAGGTTGGTAAGGGTTAGGGAGGTTCAGTTAGTTTAGTAAAATTGTTTAGTTACAATTTGTATTATTACAGAAGGTACATGAATACCTTTTTAAAATTACACTACAGTATCCCTATTCAGTATACATATGTGCAGAGTACAGTCTATGGTGCAGTACTGTTTAAATTATGTCTTGAGCAACACAATTCAAGATATTTGTTCTTACTTCTGACTGACTTACCATGTTTCATTCTCTCTCTCCTACACCACCAGGTACCCTTGATTAACACTGACACAGAAAGTGATTGTTACCATCGTTCTTGGCGTGGTATTCGTTCCCCTTGATCCTGAAATACGGTTCATCTGTTTTGGTCAAGTCGTGGATCATGTTATTGAATTTTACGTTGAAAGGTGTTCCATCACTCCATGTGCGTTTAAATGCGCCATCGGGGGTGTTACGTAGGTCGACGAGCAGCTCTGTAAAGTGGTAGGAATTTTTTTTTTAATATGAACTATCAATAAAAGTTTGGGAAGAGCTGATTGGTTTGCTGGAGGCTAAGGGGTGAGAAATAATTCTCCTAACAGCCAATCAGCCATTTTACAAACCTTATGATATGAATTAATTAGTCTTAACTTTAACCGATTCAAAAAATATAATACTATTGGAGACTTGGTGAACATTAATTCTTGTTGCCGTAAGAATAGCAGAGAGAGATCCTTCTTACCGGATGTGTCGAACCTATCAGACATTTTCAAGCCAATATTAAGCTGTTGCCGAGAGTGGAGGATAGCAGGCCTAAACCCGGGAATTTTCTCACAGAATTCTTTGGCTTCAGCGTATGATAGAGTAGCATCGGGTACAAAGTAATGGTGGTTGTCCTCTTCCAACGTCACCCCAAGGTCCTCCTTTCCCACAAAGGAGTCTGTAGGAGTTGAAAAAAAAAATAGTCACAGCTCACACCCGGTGCCGTCACAACACTCTCTGTCAGGTTGTTCCAAGAGATCATAATTAATCACTCCGAAAAAGTTTGTGAGAACCGGAGTGTGAGTTGTGAACTCTTGGAACAATCTGCCAGAGTGTTGTGACGGCACCGAGTGTGAGCTCTTTCAAGACCAGACTTGACCAAAACTGGTGCAGGTTTAGATACATTCAGGAGCCGGTGCATGCCCAGTACTTGCCAACAGTGCCTAACAGAGACGTGACCGATCGCCCAAGTGACTAACGAGCCGATCAGTGGTGAAGAGGATAAAAGAAAAAGTAAAAATATCTAAGGTAACCTCATGAAACCTGTCCTAACTTAAACTAAGCTAACCTAACATAACATAACTTTACTTAATGTACAGTAAGCTATTCATAATTAGGACATAATTTCTGTGACTGTCTTCCCAAACTAAAATTGAAACAGGACTAGGAATCAGACATCCATATATCAGCCAGAGGCGTAGCCCCCCCATCAGGGCCTGGTTAGAGCGATCTTCCTCACCAAGAGGCAGGAGGATTAAGAGCTGTATGAGGTCACGCTTCTCAGACACTAAGTTAAACAACCTCTGTATTCTCTCAACTGTTTTACCTCATACGATCATTAAATTTCAAGGATGTTGTGATTATCTTTGCAACAATGAAGTCAAGGAAGAAAACTTCGGTGTCAATGTCTGAGTTCTATACTGTTAATATTATTCTAACTAATAATTTATTTCCATAAAATATTTGTTATAAATAAAGCCATTATAATACTGTGCTCACGTTAAGTTTATTAATTTTATCATCTTGTGCTGAATTATAAATAAACAAATGCTTCGTAAATAAATTCAAATCATATTTTAATTTACTTAGACATAAAAAAATATAAATTTGCTAATGAATACATGACTCCCCCCTTAGAGCTCTTGGTGTAGGACCCAGCTAACTCCTGATACAACTCCCCACTCCTGTTGTCTCAGTAGCGTTGTCAAAATCCTTCGTCCATTGTGTCACATTGTCTCACACCCAAAATCGTAAGGATATTTTATAGGATGAATACATAATGAATCAACATGAACCTATTTATGAATACCTTCCATGAATCCGTAGAAATATGCAGGGTTGTCAACGAGGGTAGTGTCAATAGGGCTCTGGGTGGACAAGTGGCAACGCATCAACTGAGCCGATACTTTCCCCGCCGTCCAGGACATACACAAGGAATTGATGAAACACAATGATTTACAAACACCTAGAGACAGACCAGAGACAACACGATCAACACTGGTGATAAATATTATAATAAATATATATCAACATACTTATTTAAGCTATGTTAATGTATACAATATATATTTTTTTAACTTTATTATTTAGTTCGATCACGTGAGGATTAAGCACCCCAACTTATTTCATGGGTCAAGTTAGGTTAAACTGGGTTAAGTTAGGATAGATTAGGTTAGGTTAGGTTAGATTATATTAGGTTTGGTTAAGTTAGGTAAGGTTAGGTTACATTAGGTTAAACAAGGCTAAATTAGGTTAGGTTAGGTTAGGTTGGTGTTTAATCATCAGGTGAAAGAAGCTTAGGGTGTCTAATCTTAACGTAATCCTGTGAAAATAAGTAAATAAATAACTAAATAATTAGTGATATGAGAAAAAACGCTGTCACAGGCGGATGACACTCACGTTGAGCTGACGTTATGGGATTTGATGACGCCGCTGGTACCTGTACCCACGTTAAAGGTCTTGCCACGCACTGCAAAGAACTCCCAGCGCCTTATTCCCATCACTGAGATGACCAAACACCCCAGCACCATCACCCACCACCATCTAGCCATCACCCGCATCCTCAAACCCTGCAACAACGATCAGTGCCGGATTTAGACCTGTGGAGGCCCATGGGCAGCCTCTTTGTAGGCCCCCTCATATAACTACCCAAGAGGGTGGGGTGGCGAGTGAAGCGAGCCTAAACATCTGGGAGTTCCGGGGGCGCTGTAAGACCCCGGAAAATTGGAATCTGAACACTTCTTTGGAGAATTTTGAAGCCATATGCAGTTATATTGAAAATATTAAAAATATATGGTTCATAGGAAAACCAGGTATTCATGAATTTCAAGGAGTAGCTAGCCTAATTTCTATCACGCTTCTTGCTGAACATAGTTTTACGTGATGGAATAGATAAACATGAATTTTAAAGAATGACAATAAAAATAATCCAAATTTTTTAAACAAATAAATAAAATATTGTAATATGTGGAGGCCCCCAGATTGTGGAGGCCCCTGGGTAGCTGCCCACTTTGCCCACTATTGAATCCGGCCCTGACAACGATGATCAAACAAACGTAGAGTGAGAGAGAGAGAGAGATGGGGGCGGGGGGGACGCGTATTATATGCGGTTAGAAGTCATACAACCATTAATAAATAGTCTCTCTCTACAGTATATATTTATCACCATTTAGTCAACCAATTTCATATACAGTAGAGTGAGTAGATATTTCTCACTGTCTCTTATTTCTTTCATTTCTTCAGTGTCTCTCAACAAATACCTCTCGTTATCTCTATCTCCCTTCATCCCGTCACTATCTCCTCCTCTCCCTATCACCACTTACTACAACAGATTGCTTCACCTTGACACCAACACAGCAGGATAGTTCTTGTCCGGGGTCCGACTCTGAACGCGTCTTCAAGAACACTACCGTTCGATTCGCTATTCCCTGTTCACTCACACCCAAACAGGCGTCATTAATTATTCACAAACTAAATTCCTACCATGGACATTCACCACAATTGTATCGCTTTATTTACTATGAACATTTTCGTGTTCCTGATATTTTGAGTGTTTGTTGATTTACAGTATACTGTATTAGAGTATTTTCTCCCAATACACACTAGGCTAGGCTTAGTTGTGGAAGGGATTGGTGTAGTCTGCTATAGAAATGTGACGTCGAAGAGAGAGAGAGAGAGAGAGAGAGAGAGAGAGAGAGAGAGTGTAATAATAATACCAATAATAATAATTAACGGTTTATTGAAAGGGTTATGCAGCCCGAAGGCTGAAAATATACATTAGACAAAAATGACTTATTACATACAAAGACTTGGGGTAGTTGGGTCGTTTAACAAAAGCTTTCATTACTGAAAGGAGAAGGAACATGAATTGAACCTACAAATAAGAAAAGTGGAGGCTCATGGCATTAAAGGAGATATTCTAAAATGGATCAGGGCGTGGTTACAGGACAGAAAACAGCGAGTGAGCATTAACGGCACTAAATCCCATTGAAGAAACGTCACTAGTGGAGTTCCCCAAGGTTCACTACTTTGACCATTATATGCATAAACGACATAGATATCGGCGTAGATAGCAACATACCGTAAGTCAATTTGCTGATGACACTAAAATAGGGCGTGTAATTAAATCTGACGAGGACTCCGCAAAACTACAGGAAGATCTAAGCAAATTTCGAATGGTCTGAAAAATGGCAGATGAAATTCAATGTGGACAAATATAAAGTACTCAGTATAGGAGATGTAAACAGGGAAACTAGATACCAGATGAACAACGATGTTATTGAGAAATCCGACTGCGAGAAAAATTTAGGAGTAATGATAAGTAGGAATCCTAAACCAAGTAAACAATGTGTTTTTGCTCGTAACAAGGCTACTAGAGTACCTGGGTTCATACAAAGCAGTGTTAGTTACAAGACTAGCGAGGTCATCCTAAAACTATATCTTGCACTTGTGAGACCTCACTTGGATTACGCAGTTTAATTCTGGTCACCGTATTACAGAATGGATATAAAATCCTTGGAAAGAATTCAGATGAGAATGACAAGAATAATCCTGGACATTAAGAACCTTGAGTACAGAGACAGGTTAAAGCATCTTAATTTGCACTCCCTCGAGAGCAGTAGAGTGAGGGGCGAAATGATGGAGGTGTATAAATGGAAGTCAGGGCTGACCAAACGGGACATTACAAAGGTACTCAAAACTATCCAACCAGGAGCGAAATGGTAACAATGGTTTTAAATTAGACAAATTTAGATTTAGGCTCGAAATAGGTAAACATTGGTTTGGAAATAGAGTAGTGGATGAGTGGAACAAGTTACCAAATATCATCATTAATTCGAATACGCTGGATAGCTTCAAACATAGGTTGGATGGATATATAAGCAATAGGGGTTGGGTGTAAATGAGACTGCCCAGTATGGGTCAATGAGCCCGCTGCAGTTTCCTCCATTCTTATGTTCTTATAGTTTGCAGGTAATGGCCCGGGCTGGTCTCTTGCCATATTGTGTGAGGTCACGCAGGTCGCGTGGTTCAGTAACTCGTCCTTGGTGTTGATATGAAGGACCTCACGTGGTCATGGAGACGGTGAACGGTAATAAAGTCACAGGAAAAAAGTCACAATTTTGGCGAGGAAAAAAATCACAGGAAAAAAGTCACATTTTATTTAATAAAACTAAAAATATTTTAAAACAGTTATTAACTGACAATACGTGACTTTTACATATTGACAACACAATTTATACATGATGCACGTAGGTTAGGTTAGGTTAGGTTAGGTTAGGTTTTTTTTGTGCCTTTTCTTCTGTGACTTTTTCTGTGACTTTTTTCTGTGACTTTTTTTCCTGTGACTTTTTTACCTGGATTAATGGAGACACCAGGTGGTGAGGTGTTGACGTGGTGCAGTAACTCGTCCTCGGGTGTTGATATGAAGGACCTCACCTACAGCTGTGAGCTGGAACACCCCTAACCCCAGCCAGGGTTCTACTCCATCCTGCCTACACTTCAAAAACTGGGACACCTGCCATACACCTGACCATAAACTGGGACACCTGCCGTACACTTCACCATAAACTGGACACCTGCCATACACTTCACATAAACGGACACCTGCCACACTTGACCATAAACTGGGACACCTGCCGTACACTTGACCATAAACTGGGACACCCCATACACTTCACCATAAACTGGGACACCTGCCATACACTTGACCATAAACTGGGACACCTGCCGTACACTTCATCATAAACTGGGACACCTGCCATACACTTCACCATAAATGAACACCTGCCGTACACTTCACCATAAACTGGGACACCTGCCGTACACTTCACCATAAACTGGGACACCTGCCATACACTTCACCATAAACTGGGACACCTGCCATACACCTGACCATAAACTGGGACACCTGCCGTACACTTGACCATAAACTGGCACCTGCCGTACACTTGACCATAAACTGGGACACCTGCTACACTTCACCATAAACTGGACACCTGCCATACACTTCACCATAAACTGGGACACCTGCTACACCTGACCATAAACTGGACACCTGCTGTACACTTCACCATAAACTGGGACACCTGCCAATTCATAACGGACACCTCCATACACTTCACCATAAACTGGGACACCTGCCATACACTTCACCATAAACTGGGACACCTGCCATACACCTCACCATAAACTGGGACACCTGCCGTACACTTCACCATAAACTGGGACACCTGCCGTACACTTCACCATAAACTGGGACACCTGCTTACACTTCACCATAAACTGGGACACCTACACTTCACCATAAACTGGGACACCGCCATACACCTCACCATAAACTGGGACACCTGCCGTACACTTCACCATAAACTGACACCTGCTGTACACTTCACCATAAACTGGGACACCTGCCATACTTCACCATAAACTGGGACACCTGCCATACACTTCACCATAAACTGGGACACCTGCCATACACCTGACCATAAACTGGGACACCTGCCATACACTTCACCATAAACTGGGACACCTGCCATACACTTCACCATAAACTGGGACACCTGCCGTACACTTCACCATAAACTGGGACACCTGCCATACACTTCACCATAAACTGGGACACCTGCCATACACTTCACCATAAACTGGGACACCTGCCATACACTTCATAAACTGGGACACCTGCCGTACACTTCACCATAAACTGGGACACCTGCCGTACACTTGATCATAAACTGGAACACCTGCCGCACACTTCACCATAAACTGGGACACCTGCCGTACACTTCACCATAAACTGGGACACCTGCCGTACACTTCACAATAAACTGGGACACCTGCCGTACACTTCACCATAAACTGGGACACCTGTACACTTCACCATAAACTGGGACACCTGCCGTACACTTGACCATAAACCGGGATACCTGCCTACACTTGACCATAAACTGGGACACCTGCCACACTTGACCATAAACTGGGACACCTGCCGTACACTTCACCATAAACTGGGACACCTGCCGTACACTTCACCATAACTGGGACACCTGACGTACACTTCACCATAAACTGGGACACCTGCCATACACTTGACCATAAACTGGGACACCTGCCGCACACTTCACCATAAACTGGGACACCTGCCGCACACTTCACCATAAACTGGGACACCTGCCATACACTTGACCATAAACTGGGGACACCTGCCATACACTTGACCATAAACTGGGACACCTGCCGTACACTTGACCATAAACTGGAACACCTGCCGTACACTTACCATAACGACACCGCACACTTCACCATAAACTGGGACACCTGCCACACTTCAATAAACTGGGACACCTGCCATACACTTCACCATAAACTGGGACACCTGCCGTACACTTCACCATAACTGGGACACCTGCCGTACACTTCACCATAAACTGGGACACCTGCCGTACACTTCACCCATAAACTGGGACACCTGCCGTACACGACAATAAACTGGGACACCTGCCGTACACTTCACCATAAACTGGGACACCTGCCGTACACTTCACCATAAACTGGGACACCTGCCGTACACTTGACCATAAACTGGGATACCTGCCAACACTTGACCATAAACTGGGACACCTGCCGTACACTTGACCATAAACTGGGACACCTGCCGTACACTTGACCATAAACGACACCTGCCGTACACCACCATAACGGGACACCTGCCACACTCACATAAACGGGACACCTGCCGTACACTTGACCATAAACTGGGACACCTGCCGTACACTTCACCATAAACTGGGACACCTGCCGTACACTTCACCATAAACTGGGACACCTGCCGTACACTCACCATAAACTGGGACACCTGCCGTACACTTCACCATAACCGACACCTGCCGTACACTTCACCATAAACTGGGACACCTGCCGTACACTTCACCATAAACTGGGACACCTGCCACACACTTCACCATAACCGGAACACCTGCCGTACACTTCACCATAAACTGGGACACCTGCCGTACACTTCACCATAAACTGGGACACCTGCCGTACACTTGACCATAAACTGGGACACCTGCCGTACACTTCACCATAAACTGGGACACCTGCCGTACACTGAGGTACCAATATTTATTTACCCAATACAAACTACTGCCGGGTCTCAGTAGGTGAAATACGTATGAGGATAAATAAATAAATAATGGTAGATATATTTTTGCTTTTAGAATTCTTTAATGATTCATGTAGCCACGTTCTTTGGTCTTGAGTGGTACCATTAGAGCCACGTGTGTCAGGTGTGTCAGATGTGTCAGGTGTGTCAGATGTGTCAGGTGTGCTAGATGTGTCAGGTGTGTCAGGTGTGCTAGACGTGTCATGTCAAGTGTATCATGTGTATCA